GATTTATGATACAAGATGGAAAATGAATTATTTCACGATAATCCTATGCTATTTGTATATCCTTGTAACAAGTTTCGAGTGCTTGTCTTTAAAAACTGGACTCATTTTTTGAGCACTTCTAAGAGAAAGAGATTAAAGACTCTAATTATTTTACTGAATGAGACAAGCCATAGCTATGCGTAGTAGCTAGAAATTTTTTTTTTGTTGTGTGTTTTTGCTAATTATTTAACCTAGAATCTTGTGAAATGTGTAATTGTGAGGGGTAACGTTAGAGAAAATTTTGATTTTTTTTTGAATTAATTGAATAATATTTTGTGAAATGTATGTAATGTTTTCATGATTCTCTAGCGTAGTATATTATTGCTTTTTGATTTACAATGTTTTGATATGATTCCAGTATATTGTGTAATGTGTTAGAAAATTTAATTTAGTATTGAGCAATGAATTTTATAAGTTCTTAAGGCATAATGATACAAATGAATGAGTTAAAGAAAAATTGAAGATTGTTTTTCAATTGCAAAATTCTGTTTTAAAGTTAACATGGGTTAGATTTGAATTTTTGCCTGAGATCAGCAATAGTGATGTTTGCATATTTAATTTTTTTTTTTGGATTGAATTCTTCAGCTTGAGTGAAGTTCTAATTAGTTTAATGAGTCAGAGTAATTGAGATTAGTTATCTTCTGAGTTTTAAGTTTGTGAAGAGTTGTCATGTGAGAATTGTTTTAAACAGTAGAAATGAGTTAGTCTTGTGAATTGTAGAAAGTGAATTTTAATGAGAATTTTGGTGACAACGGGAATTTGGTTTTGTGAAAATTTTTGAAATAAGTTTGAGAAGATTAGTTACTTTTGCTCTGTACTCATGTGTGGGAATTTTCTGTTGATTACAAGTAGTTTGTCTTGAATTTGCTAGTGAATCGTAATAGATTTGATTTGAGTTATTGAATTTTCTTTCTTGGTTGGACTTGTTGCTGAATTTGGGGTTAATTCTTGTTTTGGCTTAAGTTTTGTATTTGAATTGGTAGTATCAAGATAGTTGTATCAGGTTTTTGTTTTGTTTTGGTGGTTTCTGCCAAGGTCCGTAAAATGTAAGTTCTCTGATGTTTAGTTTCTGTGGAAGAATTGAGATTTCTGTGGTCATAGGAAAATAGTAGAATTTGAGTTATGGATTTCATTTGTGTGATTTTTAGGGATTTTTGAGTTACGAGTTATGAGTATTTTTTTTTTAGTTTAGCACTTTTGAGAACTTTGCATTTGTTGCTTGCAGTTAGGTCTTGCGTGAAGTTGTAATGTCCTGAAAGCTCGTTTTCTTGTAAATACTTGCACTTCATGGTGGCACTTGACCTCTTACACCGGGGGCAAACAGGAACTTGTTATCTGAGAAAACTATTGTTGTATCTTTTTCATTGTGTTGGTTCAGGATTGTAACGTTTCAGTCAGCGCACTTTTCTTTCCGAGATAAGAGATCTTATGTTCTCTTTCAACGTGTCTGGAGGTTTGCTTGATACGTAAAGTTTGAGTCTGTCATTTCATAATACAGCGCTTTTCTCAGCTTACATGGACGCGGTAAAGAGTTACTTTGTTTCTTTTGTTTGGGTGGAGGTGTTGCTGAAGGCTGCTACTTAGGTTACTATACAACGTTTTTGAAAAAGTCTGATGCAGAATAGATCTCAGTTTTTGCCTAAAATTGGGGGGTTTGTTTTGAACACTTTTTTTGATTTGTGATATTTTATTTAGTGTTCTAGTAACGTGCTTCAGTCCAGCTTTGATTGATTTCTTTGACTAGTTGAAATTTTTTTTTGTGGACCTAATGGATTTTTAGAATTACTGAATTTTTTTTTGGTGTTGTCTTACTAAGGGGACTTAAGTTTGGTGTTGTTACTCACTAGTGTTTACTTTGAGGTTTGAAAGTTTTTAGCGACACTTCACTCTTGCTGGTCGATTTTTTTTTTGGCTTGATTTGAATTACAGTGAAATATTTTTGACTTGATATGGTTTAACATAATGCTTATTTGTGTATTTGTTTAGGTATTGCAGTTTAAAAATTTTTTTTAAGTATCGCTGATCTCATTGCTCATTTGAATTATGTACGAAATTTTTACAGTTTAATTGTATTTTCATTTTATGTGTATATGTGTATCTTGGTAGTATTTGTAAATTTTGGCCAAACGTTATTTTGTATATGCATTAGGTTGTATTATTACTATTATTTTTGTGTGTTTTGGATAAAATTCTAATTGGTATTTGCACAGCGTATTCGTTATGCTATTTTCGGAATTGATTTTGGTTGGATTGAATTTTTGGACAATCACGTTTTCTTTCTTTCTGATTTTTTTGTGTGGGGTATTTTCGGCTGGTTCCGAGGTTCCTTGTGTTGTAACGTTCTTTTCTTTTCTAATGCTTGGCCCTGATCAGGCCGCTTCTGTTCTTAGACGTGATTGTTTGGGATTCAATCTTGGAAGTTATTCAATTTCGTAGTACTTAGGGGTCTTTACTCCTTATTTGAATACGTTCATGTGACATATTTTATTTGGAATTGTTTGAATTATTAGTGTGTTTATTTTCTCAGGAATGTATTTTATGTATCTGCGGCGCGTTAATTATCTTATTGATTGATCTTAGACATATTTTGTTTGTGATTAGCGCCTTATTTTTATTTTTATTTTTGTATGTGTTCTGAGTATTTCTAGGTTTAATTAAGTGATTTAATTGATGTTTTTGATTAATTATTTTTGATGATCTTCCTTGAGTATTTTAATTAGTAATTGCTTTGATTAATCTTGTTGTTTTACTTGCACATTTTGGACTTGAAATTTAATGTGTCAGTAACGTCACTGTTACCAAGGAGTCGTGTGAAATATTGTTACATTATGTTATCCTTTAGCCTTATTGCACAGTATGAGTCATGGTATTTCAAGAAGTGTCTGTCTGCTAAATTTTGGTAAACCAAAATTTAATTCCTTAGGGGAAAGGAATGTTATGTAGAGAAATTATCTGATAGCGTTATAAAAATTAGGTGAATGATTTTATGATTTATGGAAATTTAAATTTTATTTTGATTCTGAATTATTTATTTTAAGGCTTTAATTTTGGGGAAAAACAGATGCTTCTGGAAATATTATTTAGTTTAAATGAATATTATTTATTTTCTTTTATTTGCAAATCTTGTACAAACTTTTATTCATTGTGAAAGAAGCAGGGAAAGGGAGGCAATTTTCGCCAAGTCATGATTTCGCGCGCTTTAGAATGTTCGAGAAAGAATTTTCATTGTTAGTTGACCTTAAGAGAGGAAAGTACGTGACGGAAAGGTCAAAGGTTGCTACTTGTCTTTCAATGTAAGTCATTCAGGTTTTTGGCGATTGAGGGTCCGGTTGTTGGCTAAGTGAAGAAGGGCGCGCATGCGCGATCACCCTTATTTCCGCATTCTGGAGTTGAAAACGAAGATTTTGCCATAATTAAGGGGGCGATAAGTGAAGCCATAGTGGGAGCCCGTTTGGTGAAGGAGACGAAGGAAATTCGAGTTGGATACACACTTACACTGGACTGACACTCTTACTTTTGGACTCGCGGCATTACTGGTTGGCTGGACTTGTTGGATGTTACTGGCTGGAACTTACTTGGGACGTTACCGTGTGAGCTTGCTCTTGGGATGAGTAAGAACAGGCGAGCCGTAATTTCCTAGCAACAACGTTTCTGACCGGCGAGCGAAATTTGAACGAGTTACCTGCGTGTTGACATAGGACTTTCAGGACCAAGCGGATAGCCGTCCTGGGCAGCAGTGCTCCTGTTTCTGTTCTACAGTAGTGAAGTGGGGTCTACATTTTTAGAAACCAGTGTCAAGATGAGCCCGGCCGACATCAACGCGGGATAAGATAAGAGTCCTCCACTTCAAGATGTCCCTCAAGATAAGTTTTATTTTTTTTGGTGTGTTTGAACTTTAGGCAAGCTTTTCAAAAACGTCCTTAGCAGAAAAAAAAAAAACAACGTCGAATCTAAAATTTAACTCTCAGGCCTTAAATTGTTTCCCTTTCCTTTCTTTTAAATCACCAGACAAACCTTAAGTTTTTTTATGAATTTAAATGAACAGACTCTCAGATGAGGTTAAGATTTTTCTTATTGTGTTGTAATTGAATAAACTGATATTTAATCTGGAACCTCTTACAGTATGTTTTCTTTATATATTTAATATGAACTTTTCCTTTATATCTTGTATATGTTTTATGTTTTCGATCCTCTCACGGCGCGGTCCCGGAATGCATTTTTTTCACAACGCAAAAATGCTGTACACGTTTCACTATACGATCACTACCTTTAACGGCAAGTAGTTTCATATTTAACATTTAAATATATGAATTTAAGATATAACATTTGAAAATTCATAACTATTTCCCGGCGTGAACTTAAGCTATTTAACAACTGCTATGATAGCCAATGGAACTTCTGGTAGTTTTTGAAAATTTGATTTTTTATTTCATATAGCTCAATAATTACCACCCTGTATTTGTGTAAATAATATTTGATACAAAAGCAAACTAATATTTGATAACTTTTTCAGATGATGTACTTGGTATCTTGTGTTAAAGTATGGCTGTTTAATTAAGAATAGTATGCAAAATTTTCTATTTAAAACATTGATACTATCATCAAATGAATAAAAATTATAATTAGACTTGATGGAGCAAAATTCTCAAAATCATAATTTTCATTATGCACATACATGCAACAGATTTCAGGATGTAAGTAGCTCTCACTCATTAGAGCACCTATATTTTCAAATAAGAAAAATAAATAAATAAAACATTACAAAAAATCTACTTAAGCTGAAACAAGTATGAATCAAATGAATTTCATTTTACGAGAAATGTCCTGACAGTAATATTCTGGATTTGATTTCTTTTACTCCATTTCTAAGATTATTATTACTTTATACAGATTTTTTCCTAAGCCTATAAAGCATTTTAATACATATATTAATAACAGAAATAGTTATCATATGGGCTTACTTGCTCAGTAAGATTTTCTTGATTGTCAGCATGTTCTTGTAATGTCTGAAAATTCTTCAAAGCCATTTCATATGGAATGGAAGGAGAATCATTCTAAGAGAAGAGTATAACAAAATTCAACTTGGAACTAATTTTACAAAAGTTACATACTTTAGAAATCTTTTAATATAACAATATACTAAATATACAAAAATAACAAACAGTATTGAAAAGTATGAACTAACCCAATTGATCTGTTGCATATACTTTGTTCCCCTTTCTTTATACTGCCACACATAAGGACTCAAAGTTGCATTTAAACGTCTTGGAATATTTCTAGGTTTATACCAGATGTCATGAGAAATTACTTCTAAATCTTTTTGCATTAAATCAGACATCTAAAAATATATACGAAGCCTTATTCATATATGTAAAAAATAGAGAACTAAAAATTTCATACAAATAAAAAAGCTTTAAAAAATAATAAGGAACATACAAAGTTAAGCAATGTTATAAACTGAAACACATAATAAAAATCCCAAGTAATAAAATAACAAGCTAATCACAATATATATTTACTATATAGACAACAAAATGAAAACACTAAAAAATAACAAGTTTTGTGGGGTTCAAACCTTAAAACAAATCCTATCCCCTCTTTCCCCCCCAAAAAAGATACAAATTTGATAGCTGTTAAAACTATAAAGGATAATAATCTTTTAACTGGGATTATGTGTTTTAGTCAATAATTATAAAAATTAACAGTGAGTGTTAATATAAAACACTGTGTTAATAGAATTCACTTTTTATGGAATAATTTCAATTTGTTTTGATATATTAAAAATAGTTAAGTTTCTGCAAAATATTTAAATTCAATAAATATTTAACAAATAAATTACATTGGGCAACAAGATTTTTGTTTTAGGTAATAAGTGTCATTTCTAAACAGCTTATAAAAAAAATATAAAGCTTATAAAAAGTATAAAAAAAAGTCATCAGTATTTTTAAACTGATTTTGTGATCAGCATAGCCTGTTTTATAAACTTCCAGTGTATTTAATTATTATAGCAACTCATCTGCCCATTGCAACTGAAGGGCAAAGTGTAATAAAATATCACTATGACATATACTACATATGTTTATCACAAAACTACCTTACCAGTTTAGTTTACTATGAGCAGCCTATGAAAGAAATGGATATGCAGGGTGTCCCGTAGATGTTACGATAAACTTCTAGGGCTGGTAGGGCATATCATATGGATTAAGAACTGCATAGGAGCTCATACCTGGAAATGTCAGGGGTTAGCGGTAGCAGAGGTAGAAGATGGGAAAGAAAACAAGAGAGTGGTTAATTTGAAACATTTATTGGATGTGGATACAAATGGAATATGCCAGTTTGAATTTTACAACAGATGCTCAAAGTTTGCACCATCAGATGCCAAACATGCCTGACACCGACAAACCATTGTTTGCCGAACATGTTCAAACACCAAAAACACTGGAAGTTTCTTTGATTGTAGCAACTGGGCAGGCAAGTCTTGCCATAAAATCTATTTCAGATACAACAGGATCATGATACATGACACTTTTGATGGCTCCCCACAGGCAGCATTAAGTAGTCGCTGACCAAACCCACTCAGACATTAACTTTGAAGCGTTGTTGTGTGGTGTGGTGTCGCACACCGTGGGGGTTTTCTTGGGCCCACAAATGCTGATTGTGGTGATTGAGTACGCCATCCCTATTGAATATGGCCACATCCATGAGCAATACATAAATGCACACAATTCAGGATAGTCATCGGAAAGCCCTTTGGAGATGAGCGTGGAAGGACTCGGCATTCAAGACATGCAGGACACTGGCACAAAACATTCTTAATTGAGACGCAATGACATATATGCTGGTCCTTGAATTACTCTCCACTGTATCCAATACACTTTCTTCTCTAATGACCGAGTGAGTCGATCGTGGGCTGCCCTCACTTGTCCTGCCACTTCTTAATGAACCATAGTCACACAAATTTTGATGCAGATGCGCAAATGTGCAGATGTGAGGTAGTTGATATCTGCAGGGAGAGCATTCTCGATAAATGCATGCAGTGACTTGTCCATTATCCTCAGCTATTCCATACACTAAATGCGTATCTGCAAGCTCTCTGTTCGTAAAGCGTTCCATTCTCTTCGTATGGTACCTACTACTCAAATGAGGCTATCCTCACTTTTGCACTAGCACTCTCCTGTACAACACACCCTGGCAGTGTACAATGATGTTTCTGGGCATGGGTTCCTATGCAATTCTTAATCCTTATGATGTCCCTTACCTACCACAGAAGTTTGTCGCAACATTTACAGGACACCCTGTATACAGAGAGAGAAAGGTCTTAAGGCTCTACTATCAAGGAGACTCACTTTGTCATATCTGTCATCAAATTTATCTAGATAAAAGCAACAAAATGCTCAGGGGAAACAATTAATACAATGTGTGATGAATACATAAACAACTTTGGGACTCTTGTTGCCACACATTCTTAGTACAATAAATATGGCTGCAAGGTCAATGCAGAATTCAAACAGACAGCATTATTACTGAGTTTTCAAGTTAACTAAATCTAAACTCAGTGGTGCAACAGCCCTAGTGGGCCTGCTCTGCCTTGAAATCTACTTTCTTGACCTTGGGTCCTGGAGTGCATCAGCATATAATGAAGCAATTTACCAAAGTTGGCAGATATCAAAAACCTCCAGGATTATTCTTTAAGCTGTCTGCAGAAAATATATTGAAAAAAGAAAAGAAACGAAAAACAAAATCTGTCACATTTTAAATAAAGAAGACCATAAAGTGAAAGTTTGGTTCGTTAAATAGCTGATTGACTGTGGCAAAGTATGGATGTTCTTAGGGAGGATGACCTCAGTAGGATTTCCTAAGAGAAACTGGCTTCCATTCATATTACTAATGAAATATACCATGAAAACAACAAGTAGCCAATTTGTTTGTCATGAGTTAGAACAAAAAATGAACTATCAGTATTCAGTACCTTATACATTTGACCAGAATTCTCCCTTCTCCCCCCAAAAACCTCTTTGTATGTGTGTTTTTTAACTAAGTACTTTTTAAAATGTTATTACATATCGAATTCTTTAAATCAAACATTCCAAGTGATTTTTCCAAATCCTATATGATATTCAGTTATTTTTCTCCATTTTTGTATAATTATTGCTTGCATTCTGTTGTAAAACATTCAAGATCTATACATCACAATGCACACTGGTGGTAGCTGTAAATATGTGTATATATATATATATATATATATATTTTTTTTTTTTACAAAGCTTTTATTCTGTTAAAACATGCTGGCAAATCCAAAAGGTCTTTGCTTTTCTTATCCTCTATTATATTGTATTTCTAATCTCACTTATTTTACTACTGCCATTCTACTAAGAATCTCATTCACTGCTTAAAGTCACATATACATACTGTGAACTCAAATGAATATTACAAGATTAATGTTGGTACTTGATGTTTTGGGCACAGCTTATGAGCTACATAAAACCTTCTGGCAAAGCTGGGAGGACTTTTTTTTCTACTTAATTTACCAAATTCAATCTATATTTATTTTTCATATTGTATTGTGCTGTAAAAGTGACTTCATCATGTTACTGTGTTAAACCGACACCTGCAATCTCTGACAAAGTCATGAGTATATACTGTCACAAAATGAACTTTAAGTTTACCTCGGTAAGCGATTTTCGCAGAGCTATGGATATAAAACACTCTGACAAAGGCAGAACTTTGTTTTCAACTTATTTTTAACAAAGTCATTCTTTAATTACTTCATATTGAACTGAGCATGTAAAAGTATTTTTACTATGAACTGTGCTTAGATTTTCTGCATTCGATGCATGTAATCCCATTCTCAAGTAAAAAAAGCAAATGAACTTTTTACTCATCTAAATGAAATTACCAATTACCAACAGTAGCTCAGTTCTTAAAGTCAATTTAAAAGTGAACTTAAAATGCCAAAATATTCCTCATTTATTGCTATTCCCATGCTCAATTGCTTATATTTACAATCTCAAGAAATACTAAATGTTTTCCTACTGCAAATTTACATGCACTATTTACTGCTCTCTTGTTTTCGCCACAACTGACATTTTCGCTTTCGGGTGTGGTATGTAGCACCTTAACAAAATACTAATGTAAAGAGCCTTAGGGTGATTTAATTTACTGGAAAAAACTCATAGTAGGTAAGGCCAGCAGCAAAGAGATGATCCATGATCTATAATGAGTCATTTTTGCACTTTTGTGAGTGATAGGAAAGGCTGTTAATCTAAGTGAATTTGACAAGGGGCACATTGTAATAGCCTGAAGACTCAGTATGTATATCTCTGAAGCTGCATGACTGGTAGGTTGTTCACGATATGCCATTGCTAATATTTATGCAAAGTGAATAAATGATGGTAAAATCAGCAGTAGACTCAGAGGTGTTGGATGTCCACGCATCACCAAAGGAAAAAGATGTCGGAGAATGTCCTGCTTGATGCAGCATAATAGACACCAGACAGTGCCTCAGCTGACAGCCCAATACATTGCAAGTTCAAATTCAAGTGTTTTGGAACACATAGTTCTGCAGACACTGTTGGATACCGAACTGCAGAGCAGACATCCCACTCATGTGTCTCTCTTGATCAAATGTTACTGTCCACTATGCCTACAGTGGGTCCAGGAACATCGAGACTGGACCTAGGATTTCCAGGTGAAGTTTTGCTCCCCCACCTCCATGCAGCAGGTCATATGCTTTGGGGGATGTTCTCATGGGGCTCTAAGACCCTTAGATGTGGTAAAACAGACCATGAAAGCTGCAGACTATTTGAGCATAACTGCGGATCAGTTGTACCCTTATATAACATCTGTCTTCCCAACTGGAAACAGAATCTTCCAGCAGGACAAAATGATATGTCACAAGGCTCGAATTGTGTTACAGTGGTTTGAAGAGCATAAGGATAAATTCCAATTAATGTCCTGGCTACTAATTCATTGGATCTTACCCCAATAGAGTACTATGGGATGTCATGCTGCATCAGCTCAGAACTCAAACACTACCATATCGGAATATCTGTAATCCGCGTAACAGCTGCTTAGACATTTAGTACAACCTGTCTCCAGTCATCTACCAAGAACATGTGGCATCCATGGCAAGCTTAGCTGCAGCTGTTTTACAGGCCAAAGGTCACGCAATGCATTATTTAGTAGGTGTTCATAACATTTTGGCTCCTCAGTGTATACTTCTTGGGAACAGAACATTTTAAATCTTAAATTTAAACAAAATTAAAAGCGGTCACATTTAACAAAAGTTAAATTCAAAATGCTTATATTCTAATTATTAAACTTGATTTTAAATTTAATTTCAAGTATTGCTCATATTTTTAAAGATTAGATAAAAAGTAATATATCAAGTCTTTCGATATTTTTTTTTAGCTTTCAATAAACATATTACAAACCACATCTTTTTCTCATAGGAAATTATTTCTTCCTTAATATAGGCAGTAACTGACTTAAGAACAGCATCTTTTTTTCTTCGTGATGTGAAATTCCCATATTGTTTATCATAATCATTTCTGTTAAAATCAGTAGTTTTACAGTTTCAATCACTGGACCTTTTTACAGGTCTTTCCAGGTGTGCTCAAACATTTTGCTTCACTAGATCACTAAATTTCATTTTTTTATTTCTTTAATTGTAAATTCAGAAACTGTAGTAGCAGGAAATGCTATTTTCAAAGTTTATTGATAAGGAACTATTAAAGATCTCACTAAAGCTTCAGAACAGCAAAATTTCACAGCTTTGCACCTAAATAATGAAAGGCATGCTAGTAATCTGTACACAATTCTAAGCTTACTCTGTAAGATCAATGGTGTATTTCAATGTTGTATCAATGGTGTAAGATGAATGATGTACTGTACTCTGTAAGATCAATGGTGGTGAAGTATTTCACCTATTCAAACTGAAATGCCTGATATTTTAATGTTTGTCTTTTCTTAAAATGGAATGGCATTTTTTTAAAATAAACAATTATCAAGATTTTGCCAAAACAAAGATAAATAAATGAAAGGAACAAAACAAAACTAAAATGAATTAAATAATAGCAATAATAAAAGTAATTGACAGCAATATATATGGCTGAGTAGATATGAGAAAATGGAATAAAATGAAGAAGATGAACGGTAAACTCTTCCTTTACAGTGGCCAACTTTCACCAGAAACAAAATGAAAATAAAATTTTCAACTGATTCACTCTTACTTAAAATGTATACAGCAACCAGCATGATCTAGACATATTATCAAAAGAAATTTTCATGATATATAAAAATACCTATCTTGATAAACCTGAAAGCTGGTGTGCATGCTCCGAAAATAAGCCGACCACTTTCACCAAGATATAAAGGATTTCAAACACTGTTATCATAGTCAGTACAATGAAAATATGATGAAAAGTACATCTGGAGGCTAATACATGGAACTGATTTACAATACAAGCATTTACTTCAGAAAATTTCTAGGAAAAATTCTCCACTCATCATTCTAACATTA